AATAAATGTTTTTTACAGCAGTTCTCTCCTTTTTTTAAAAATATATTACTTTTCTATTTGATAAGCAATTTTCACTTAGTGAAAAATAATCATTTTAATGCATCACTCTCGAAGCATTTCCGTCCATTTTTTCTGAGTTTTACGTCATTGTAATTATTACGATTGGAAGGCATTTTAATACCATTAAACTATTTTCTTTCATGTCTGGGTAGTTTTCCGTTTCCGATTTTCTTTCCCAACTAAATTTATACGTTTTCATTCCTATTTTCTATAAGGCATTTAGCTTTCATTCCGGTAATCTATTTTTTACACTCCAGAAAACTATATTTNTTTTTCAGAATGTAATATAGATTGTCACAAGCGAAAATCTAATGTAAAGCAATTTGAAAAACGATGAAATAATCGGTTTTAAATTGATTATAATCATACAATTATTACCAAGTATTTTAACGGAAATAGTTTCAAAGAAATCATTTTCAGTTAAAATACTTGCTTATTGCTGTATGAGTATAGTTTATTAATGGCCAGTCATTTTACAGTTTTTGAAGAAATTCTTTTGCATGGGTTGAAATTGAATTTGTCTATTGTGAATATTATCAATCTGAGCTGTTTTGATTCGTATCTGGAAAGTGTAGGTATGTGCAAATTTTGAACAGATGAGTTACCGTATGATAAAACAAGAAAAACCGAACGTAGCAGATATATTGAAGCATTAATTAATAGATTAATCTATATTGACTACAATCATTCAACGTGTGATGTGCAACTCTATATTTATTAGTTGATGGTCAATATCACTAACTATTAGATAAGATCAATCTAAAGGCTAATAGTCCTGTGATATGCACAAGACTAATATATTTAAACATTAGCAACGTTCGATCCAATCTACTAGAATACTATTTTCGAAAAATTTATCGTATATGCTCTTTTTCTCACGTATCAAATTAGTTCATCTGACGCCAATAACTGTTTCTAGTGAGTTAATAATTATAAAAATACGCTTAATATATTTTATCAAATCACATCGGTATTAATGTATGATAGCGGAACAAAATAGAACCACTGTTCGTCTTTGTAAGTTAATATATATATATATATTTCACTTTCTGTACGCTTATATTAGATTTAAACTCTTTGTTATCTAAAGAACATTCCATTTGGGTACAAAGCTTATACAGAATTTGGGTGTGGGTGGAAAACGTAGAAAAGGTAAACGTAGAAAAAAAATACTCGCAAGGAAAATGTAGAAAAGGAAAATATCGAAAAGGGAAATATAGAAAACGATATGTCAAAATGCTGGGTTTTACATGACCTATTATCAGAATCTAGGTTTGTCGCCATCCAACAATATACCAATTGAATATTTGAAAATTTTCTTTATTTGATTAGAAATATAATATATGAAGCGAAAGAGTGACCAATGCAGTGGCTGATTGGGTGCGATCAGCTCGTCGTAACCCCTTCGATAACTTTGTTTTTGATTTCTCCCAGCAAAAACGAACGAAAAACAAGCTCATACTACCTGGAATATATCTCAAAATGTGTTTTTTGTCTATGATCGCACCACCTTCAGGAAATCGTACGCCTTTTCCAAAATCCTAGATCAGCCCCTGCATCAATCAGAATAAGAAATAGAATTTCTCTAGTAACATCATTCGAATGTATTCGACATTTTCCTTTTCGATTTTTTCTTTTTCTACGTTTTCCACCAAGATCAGAATTTGTAGTCCCATGGAATTTTATATTGATCAATAGATACTTAAATATAGAAAACTAATATAAATAAATATTGAAATCATTACTATAAGACGAAAATATTAAGAACGACGGGACTGCTTTAAGAATTGTGCAGAAAGCGAATGTAAAAAGCAAAAGCTTCCTATTTCAGCTCATTCCAAGAGTATATCAATATTATCCTTTAGAGATTTTCAGCAACATGATTTCTACTATCAACCTTTATAGCGAGTTCTGATATCGAGACTTCGATTAAATAAGTGTGAGATGAATGTATATACTGGATTTGACCTAGATAAATAATTGTAAACGATAACTTTAACAAATATTTGATGTATTCTCATGTGCGTAGTTGTTGTTTGTTTTCGCATTGAAAAACCTCATCATTTATGTTACCGAAAATGATAGCACTAAAACTAGCATCTAGGAAAACTAACCAGACTATCATGGGCATAGAAACCTATGTCATGGTCTGCCAATCAGTTACAAAAATATCAACACATTTCTTTTCGTTTTTGAATCCACTCAGAGTTAATGAGATCGATTTTCTCGCAATAAAAGTCAAACTTATCCACAATGATGTTTTAGAAAAATGTTATAGCTAATAATGAAAAAAAGTGTCATGTAATTTCTGCAGTTATTCAGAGTTAGACATGAATAGTCGTACCATTGATTTAATTCGTATATTGTAGTCATTTGTTTTGAAGTATTCATCTGTTTGTTTATTGAAAATACTTAGTCATTAATGAATTTTTGGCGAACAATGTTACTCTAGAAAAAAAAACGTTTAGTTTTAGATTTTCTTTCATGAAATTAGTTCTATGTGAAATCAACATAATATCATGATTTCTTCACCGATTAGCGATGTCGCAGAAGCTCAACTAAAACGCAAATTGCCTCATCGACTTTCAATTATTCGTGAATTCGCTTTGAATACAACAGCACATGCTTTACCAGGAATAGCTCGGAGTGAAAGTTTACATAATCGTATTTTTTGGTCTCTTTCATTCATCAGTTTTACTGGTATAATGATGTATTTTGTTGTCAAAGCGATCTTGGCTTATTTCGATTATCCAACAAGTATGGATACAAGTTTCATTAGTGAATGGCCCCAAGAATTTCCAGCATTTAGCTTCTGTAATATCTCACCACTTCGCTTCGATCTATTTCGGGAACCTTTCGAAAACTACTCCATCATGAGAAATATGACAACTGGAAATGGTAGTATATGGGACTCAGTTACATTTTTAGACCTTACAAAATTTCTCATAGAGTCTTTGAATAGAAACGAAACACTCGATAAATATTCCTATTCACTTTCATCGATGATGTACAAATGTTCATTTAATGATATACCATGCTCAGTGAATGATTTCATTCCGTTTACATCATTCGTCTACGGTCTCTGCTATACATTCAATGCAGCATTGCAAAATAATACCGATCGAGCTATAGTTTATGCAAACCAAGATGGTGGTGATGGGAAACTCTCTATAGGTCTTTACATACATAGTCATCAGTATGTACCTTCTCTAATGGAAGGTAAGCCAATATTTTATTCAACAGATATTATACATTAATTTTTTGTATTAAGGATTTGGTGCTGTTGGTCTACTTCATGATAATACACAACTGCCAAGTATTGAATCAGCTGGTGTTGAATTAGCGTCAGGAAAAAGACATAAGCTGGGATATAGAAAGAAGACAACTCATCTACTATCTTCGCCTTACACAGCATGCACTGATAAAAGAC